TACCTCTTCCTCCTTCAGGTGGAGTACTACAGGGGGACATCCAAGACTGTTGCACCCGGCATATTCGCATGCACACGCAAACAGTAGCTTATTGACTCATATTTGATGCAACAACGAGTACATATATAAATACTTATTTGGAGCTAATTATGCCCTCAGAGAATACATATTTCAAGTGCAATATTGGCATGTTGGGAAGGAAGACAACACGCACTGGATTTTATGTACACACAATGTAAGATATGTGTCGAGGCAGACAGTAGTATGCAATAATCAATCAGGAATCGAATACAAATGCGGTATTGACAGTCACAATTGCCACGAGAGGACGCATGTGCACGCACACTATGGATGTGAGGATTTGCAGCGGCATTGCTGGTATAGTGAAGGATTTCCGTTATGCTCACTGAGCTACTGGCGTTGGAATTGCATCACCCAGACAGGGCTTCCCAGCATGGAACAGACAGCCACGCTGATGTCGGTGCGTGTACAACAACAAGTTCTGAATGCTTCTACTCTAGGCGACAGTAATGACTGTGCGGGTGAGTTCAGTAAATGCCTACAGCAGCCGGCGAGAACACAGCCTCAATCTGTCTGATTGTTCCATTTCCAAACCAGAGAACTTCTCCGTGGGTGTTGAAATCAAACGGGTATCATACAACCGCGGAGCAGTCTCTCGGCGAGTATAGGATTAAGCTTCAACAGCACGAACTTACGCCGAAATGTCACATGGCAGGACGACAGACATTCAAGGATGTTTTACGTGACATACTGCATTTAAATATACCTTTAGCGTATCCATTCTTCGGAGTTATGAAAAGGTCTTCGTGTACGCTTCGTAAACCAGCTCGACAGGAGCGATCTTGCGATGCATGTAGTGAGTGGCTGAAACGCGAGGAATATATATTAACTGAGAGATTCGGGAAAGGCCCTCAACAAGCGAGAGAAGAGGAAGCCAGCTTACACAGAGGTATATTGGAGAGAGAAAGAGATAAGATGAAGAGCAGATGAAAGCGAAAAGAACACACGTGTAGATTGATATTTCTGACTATTTAGGTAAAAACATGTAAAAAAAACTGTATATATATATTATATATATACATTGTATATAGTAATCATTCTATTGCATTCATGCACATTACTGTCCGCCATCAAAAATTGTAACCATTCAGAGTCGTGAGTAATTTTTTCGAGAATCAATATCCTGCGACTCCAGATATAAACAATAAGCTACACACTGAACTAGACAGAGGGCACTCACGAAGAGTTGCATACCTCTGCCAGAAACATATGCCATACGCCATACGACTCACGAACACTACCGAATAACCACGATATACGCCAGCGTACATTAACATGTATTGTCGCCGGCTCGCTTGATGGCTTGCTGGCCTCGCTGACTCCGGCGCGCTAATACTCATCGTGCGAACTACACGAACACACGCACACGAGAGCGATCACATAACCTCCTCCACAATCCATGCGCTTGCTGGCGGCTGCTGCCTCATATAATTGTGAAAGTAGTTTTCTTTACTTATTAATTACGACCTGAATCAAGAAATGCTATCTGAGCCCTCCCTGTACCATGTTTAAGCTAGCCACTCCATGTACCATGTTAGCTAAGCCACTCCCTGTACCATGTCCTTAGCTAGCCACTCCCTGTACCATGTTTTAGCTAGCACTCCCTGCTACCATGTTTTAGCTAGCACTTCCCTCCTCATGTTTAGCTAGCACACTCCGTGTACCATGATTTGGCTAGCCACTCCCTGTACCATTGTTTGGCCTAGCCACATACAATAAGTTACAGCAACTACATGCTACAGACCCCCGTGCGCACGTATGCACGGAATGCACACCACACATTCATAATATACGTGACACAAACAAAAAACAATAATTTACTAATAAACACACAAGATCAAGAGCTTATAAACACGTTCAACGCGAAACACGAGATATACTCGTTCGAACCTGCAAAACGGCACGGGCCGCGAAACACGAGTATATCGTGGCAAAAAAAATTAAATTTTACGTTTCTATGTTTCTCCTATAGATGGCAGGGGCTGTACGGCTTGTAGAATATTAATAGATCACAGTAGCTAGCATGACATAATTTATTACAATACATTCTGTTGTTTAGGGAACGTTAGTTTTGGGAGGTTTTTGGGACTGAGGTAATGTTTTTGGTTCACCTCGCCAAAGGGGTTATGGACTTGCCGGTTGTTGGATGAAAGTTGTTTTGAGTGGATAGAGAGTTGGATGTGAATTGTTGATTGATGACGGGAGGACGAGTGATGATCCGAGTGTTGTTTTTGATGTCTTGATCTCGAGATATAAGGATTTAGGTATGCTAAGATATCGGAAGGAGAGAGGATATACTATTAAGCACTACATTATAATAATGTTATAGCTAGTTAAACTGCAAAACATATTGTGCGCCACGCTCTTACACTACACCTGGCCACTACGCCCGCCCCGGCGAGAGAGATGGGAGAGGAGAAAACAGCGAAGAAATTCTCAAGCAACAGGAACGCGGAAGTAGGGGACTGAGAGCCGTCTAGGTGGATCCGCACCACGGAGAAGGAGAGAGAGAGGTATAGCCGTAAGACGGTACCCCTGTACTATCTAATATGCCGAACCATACCTCGCCTACTCACTAAACGAGCGATAGGAGAGTCGCCTTACGCACTATACCTAACCTAACCCGAACGACGAAACCCGGTGGAACCCTAATCCATAACCCTGGAAATCCTAACCCTACCATATCAAATAAGTGACAGGGTACGTTCCGGTATACCGGACCGTACAGGGTACGCTCCGGCGAGTTACCCTGAGGGGGACATAGACCCTCGAATGAGCCGGCGGTAGGTGCATTTGTTAAGCGCATACCAGCGGTTGACACGTGCTTAAGAAGGGACTCTACTCGCTTCTTAATACGCTCTGTTTGACAAGAATGTATAGATAGGATATATATATATTATATATGATTGCTGTTTAGGCAACATGTAGGGGTAATGTCCTCGATTGCACTAACTAGCTAAACAATAACTTATTCTTCGTTAGTCGTCTATAATGCACGGATGGTTTTATGTACGGAGATTTGATAGTTTCTGGTTATTTGCATTTTGAAATCTTAATACAAAGAAAGCTATTAGAATTAGGGGATGTACTTAAATCCAAAATTTAGCAAGCAATAATTGCGTTTGTGGGCACTGAAACAGAACAATTAGTCTACTGATAGACAGAGGAATTAACAGTATATTATCATGTGTATTCAATTACACGTATACAGTTCAAACCTCGCGTTATCCGAACAAATACTCAGGTCCTCGGTGAATATTTAATGAGCCACTAGACCACCGTGACTCGATTGGCGTCACCCGGACTATTCGGAGCGTTATGATAGAATTCAGGGGCTAATTATCATATTGACACTGAAATTAAAGGGTGTATTTTGAGGATAATTTAATTTTCATCCATTTGTGTTATTCATCAGATCAGTTATTCGAACAAAATACTACGCCGCCATCTCGTTCGGAAGCAAGGTCTAAACTGTAGTACTGTACATATTTAAAATGCTGTCAAGATATGCATCAAAAACTGTGTAGTAGATTTATGTAACTGCAATCCATGTTGTGGGCGCATTAAATGGATACTGTAGACCCTTTTTTATAACGCAAGAGATTGGTTCACGATTTTGGGCCACGTATATAAATGACTCTATCGTATCGCACTGCCATGGAAATTTCCTGGACTGACTTGAGCCGACTCCTTGAAAGTGGGCTCTTGATCTGACAACATTGTTTATACTAGAATAAAATTGTTCGCGCTGTTTAATGGTAGGGCAATGTTTGACCCGTCTGTTAAGCGATTTGCGATAGTATCGGAGCCACGGTTATATGGTGTTCACAGTGTATGTAAATTACGAATGGACACCAGTATAACTCCAACTTTACATGAGCTGGATCAAACATACATTGAAACAGTAAAAAATATCGTTGAATATGAGTAAAATCTTGCTCAGGGATATATCACAGCATTTTGCAATAACTAAATTCACGACAAAGCCAATTTTTTATTGCAGGTTGCCAACTTGAGTCACGTGCCCAGTGTAGATATTACAGAAAAGAGGATACACTTTCGAGATCTCAGGGGCAACAAGGGTGGATTAGATTCAATAAGTTGTGTACAATCAAGACATCACCCAGTCTGCTTAGTGTGCAGGTGTTGCAATTAGTCTTGCAAGTTTCACACTGTAGGGTCTCGTCCTTTCAATGTTTCACATCTGCCCGTGGGCTTGCATGCCAGACCATATTGATGCATCTGTGCATGCAATGTGCAGCTCTTTCACACAGATAAATGCCATACAAAACACTCACCATATAATCACAACCTGAAGACCTGTGTTATATGAAAGGATTTGGGGTTATGCTAACACTGTATGTCTAAGGAGTATAGTCATGATAATTTGGTAGTTACAAATTTTATTTATAAGAGTGGACTAAGGATTGCGATGTCGGAAACTTGGTGGGATATTAGATTGGGAGGAGGACGGGTCACGGATGGACGGCGGAGGTTAATTATCACTGGTTACTGGTAATACGGCCTAATAATAAATTGGAACGGAGACGGGATGAGAGATGAGAATGTCTGAGACGAATAGATACAGAGGAGGAGAGAATAAGAATGGACAGGAGAGGATGAGTAACGTTGACCCAAACGATCTGGGATGAGGGCAAATAGGGCGACCATAGATACGAGTAGCTGATTAACCTGATATGCAATAACATTGACAAAATATAAAGGAAAATGACAAAGATCAACTCGATGGAGAGAGAGGGAGGAGAGGAGGGCTAATACAATATCATAGTTTTATTTCATCAGGCTCACATAAAAAAATCTTTGTTTGCCCTCAGACCCAACCGGTATGTGGTATGTGGTATGTGGCATGTGGTATCCACAGTGAATATGTGTAATATGATGTTTTTTCTTGCTTCTAGTTGGGAAGACATCACTCATTACCAGATTCATGTATGATAGCTTCGACAATACATATCAGGTAAGTCTGCGAGTTAACATTAGCTCGGCAGGTTTTACTCTTACTACTTTACTTAAGTAAGCTGCAAATACCTACTGTAATTATTCTTTAAATGAAGACCAATGATTGGTTGCAGTATTCAACTTTACTTATTATTTTATTTATAATAGCATAAATTATAATGATTATAGTTTATTTATATTTTAAAATCGTGACAGCAAATCATTCCCTTTGGTCTGAAGTTTAGACACATGAAACAAGGAGCATCAGATATAGGGTTTAGCCAACTGGTGTTTATAAACATAATTTAATTAATTTAATACATTTTTTTACAATCTATTCCATTTCCGAGTAAAAAAAATTTATCATCTATCTTTAGACAATACAGGGTTTGCCCAAGGAATTTGACAAGGCATTTTAGGCAAATAGGCAATTCATCCCCAATTGCTAATTGGAGTCTGCTATGCCTGTCTTAAGTGAAGCAGCCCAATACACAGATAAACGCGATCAAATGGGGGGGGGGGTCATTTACATCAAGCTGTGAAAACACGATATATGACTGTGTTGGGATTGTCAAAAGTAAACACAGCAGGAAATTAAGTTGTGTTGATTAAACAACATGTCAGAAATATCTTGGATGTTCTAGGATGTCTCAAATCAGACACAAATTGACAGGCTTCATGTCAAGGCTTCAGGTTCAAACAATTAATTTTTTACTAAATTGCATTCGTTGAATAGAATCTCAATGGAAAATAAATAATTTCACTGTTGCAACTAAATAGGCAAATATTGCAATATAATTTTAGGTTGGCGGTTAGCTATATTCCATTTATACATCAGCGGATGACCTTGCTTTAAAAAGGCGTTATTGTTAATACAAGTCATTTCTTGGATGAAATGAAGTGATCTAAAATCATGTATGTTTATTAAACTAGGAGCACAAACATTTTACTCATTGTTAAGCTGATTTACACTGAACGTATTGCGATGCTTGTGTAAGTTGTCTTTTGTGGATGAAAGGTAGATTATGCAAAATTACATTTATAGATAGTAACATGAATTTAAGGTATAGGATGCAGTATTGTTAGCTAGTGGGATCAACATTTCCACTATTTGTGTGTCAGCAGTTACATATAGTAATGGTGAAGTCTGCAATAACTCTTCATACTTCAGGGATGTCTTTTGCTATTTGCAGGCCACGATAGGAATAGACTTCCTTTCAAAAACCATGTACTTGGAAGACAGAACGGTAAGTGCTTAAACGATATTATCGTAACAGATAGTTTCAGTCTATTATCATATATAGCGTACTAAAATAAATTTGCTGTGAACTTGGTCATGGTAATGTAGTTATAGAATACTAAGCAGCGTAATTATTCACGACATTAATTCCATGTCGTATAGCTTCATTTCTGCTTGCTTGCCATTATATGCATGTTATACGGGAAAAGTCTGTATTGAAATTATAACATACACTGTGTGTGTGATATCTTTCTAACACTCGCCTACTTTTTCAGTATTATTATTTCTACACTAACCCCCTGGTTTATATTGGGATTCTTCCATGGCTACATTAATCAGTTTTTATACACGTGTGTCCACTGCATTATCTACTATTCAAATAATGACAATAATCCTTGCAAAGCAAATGTACAATTAGTCAAGTACCATCTCCACTGAATAGCTCTCATGCTGAATATAGTCTTATGAAAGCCCCTATAGTAGCCGTTTTGTTATTCACTATGAAGTGAACAAACTATCTGCCATTTTCTATCGAAATGAAATCTAAGCCCACATACTTGAATGCCAAAATGGTGCATTATGACGTTTGTGTCTGTCTTGAAAATGTTACTGAACTTAAATATTCCAATACTCTTTGATTCGACTGAATAATAAATTTATTTACACATTGACATACATGATACAGCTAGCTAGGCCTGGAAACTGGGGTTAGGGGCATGTGTCCATTTAGATTTCTCTGGCGTAAATGATGTTGACATGACAGGCAGTGTTAACATTTTAAAATACATATCAAATAATACGCCACTGCTAAATATTTTGATGCACTGTTTTAACATTTCATAAAAGATCACTAGCAATTACTTGTCTTCAGAATATAAGATAGTGCTCAGTAGTGTTTCTATATATACGTCATTCTAAACAATAGCAGTAATGCAACATTAATAAACAAACAACATAACAGTTGACAAATAGAGTAATAAATTTTCCCCGAAATATTCACTTATACATACAATTAAAGGGATACCATACCCTAGAATTTTATAGAATATATTATGATAGTAAGTGCATAAATAATAGTATATATTACCTACAAATTTCTATAATCATGCATTCACATTTGTTATAAAACAACGAGTTTCGAAATTTTGATTTTTGACCACTGACATGACACCACGCGATTGTGCTGCTACCCTGACAAAGTTGCGCTTTCATCTGTCCTATGAATGCCAATAACTGCTATGCAATTAGCAGGCCTCTGTCACTAGACTGGCAATAACTTCTATGCAATTAGCAGGCATCTGCCACTAGACTGGCAATAACTGCTATGCAATTAGCAGGCCTCTGCCACTAGACTGGCAATAACTGCTGTGCTAATAGCTAACATCTGTAACAATACTGGTAATAACTGCTATGCAAATAACAAACATCTGCCACGAGACTGGTGATAACTGCTATACAAATAGCAGGCCTCTGCCACTAGACTGGCAATAACTGCTGTGCTAATAGCTAACATCTGTAACAATACTGGTAATAATTGCTATGCAAATAACAAACATCTGCCACGATACTGGCAATAACTGCTATGCAAATAGTAAACAACTGTCACAATACTGGCAATAACTGCTATGCAAATTAGAAAACCTCTGGCACATGATGGCAAAATCACTGATATGCACATAGCAAGCATATGTCACAAGAATGACAATAATAACTGATATGCAAATGGCATACCTCCGTTATGAGAATGGCAATAACTGCTGTTCAAATGGCAAACCTCTGTCACGTATTTTGGCAGTAACTGTTATGCAAATGGTAAACCTATGCTAAGTAAAGCGAATACTTGGAATAGCAATTATCTGCGTTAAGAGGGTAGAGTCGGTAGACCATTAAATTGACGACGTCACGAATTTTTTATGGTGTATATTTGTAAAAAAAAATGTTGTTCCAATTTTTTTACATGAAAAGTAATTATACTAACGGGGCTAAATGTATCTTCAAATTCTTACCTGATAAGATTGTTTTTCAACTAGTTAAAAATCCAAAAATCCTGGCGATTTGATATATTTATCACGACATTAAATGCTTGCTATGGGCTATGTATGAGTCACGAGCGTTTGTTCACATCGAACGGAATTGCAAAATAGGAAGTATAATGCTGCAATTTAACCATAAAAAGTGAACAGAATCACTTACAGTTTGTAAAAAAAAAAGTGGACATAATTTACTTTTACTATTTACGGTGACGTAATCACATTAATACACTGTGTAACGTGTGCTAACAAGGCTCCTCTCCATGTATGTATGTAGCTGCAAGAGGCTGTCACGTACTTTGCAGGTGTTTATAGCCTCGGCCGCGGCGTCGGACTACAGCCATGGAAACCTTATCCCATTGCTCTCTAACTCGTAGTTATTTTTATTTGTCAAAACTCGAAGCGTGCATGTTTTGGTGATTATAGCCAAGTACGAAGGTTCTAAGACATGTTAGCGTTAATACAGCCCAGGGGTGCTTAACCTGTGGTCCATGGACGCCTTCGGGGTCCGTGGATGGGCTTCAGGGGGGTCCGTGATTAACCAGCCGCATAAAAATTGTGTGTTTATGTGCATTTTTCTGTGGAGGGGTCCGTAGCTTTCACCAGATTCTCAAAGTGGTCCATGACTCCAAAAAGGTTAAAAAATCACTGACTTCTAAACAGTTGCTGTTACTCAAGCAATAACGGTAAGCATCGCATAGGTGAGGGAAAACACGAGACTGGTTGAAAATTAGTTCAAAATAAATCCTTTAATAGCAAACGTGTCATGTATTTCATTCATTCGTACGATTCTGAAAACCGGGTGTGTACGAGATGGTTGTGCTGATTTATAGTGCTGAACCCTAGCAGTCGGCATGGCGAAACTAATATTACAGAGTAGATTACGCGTGTGCAGCTGTTTATGTTGCGGCGCAGAAGAATTGTCGCTGGCTGCAGCTAGGGGTGCTGGCGCCGTAGTTTAAATCAATACACCTTGACATCAAGCGGAACAACACTGCCGCTCCTTCCTCTTTTATGGTTAGTTTCCACAAACACAGCGTGTTTGAGCAGCTACAGAACCATTCTAACGCTCCCCACACGCACGCACGCACGAAACAAGCACGCACGCGCGCATGCAAATATACACACACGCCCCTCGCGCATGCACGCAAACATACACACGCGCATATATATACATTTTTAATCAAGAGCTTATAGGTATTACTAGCTCTTGATTTAATTATACACACATAAATACAAATTCAAAACCCGATACCACTTCCTTCTTCAATGACTACTACAGACATGACAAGACTGTTGCACCCACAAACTCTCATGCATACACATCCATACAATTGGCTCCATTATATTTTCATTGCTTCTGAAAATGATTGTACTATATTCCAGCATCCTGCGATGAATGTATTTGTATGTCACTTTAAGGCCGCAGATATTTTTTACAAGGTATAGTTGCTTTCAATAAGTCAAGTTCATAAAGTGGTAAGCCATTGTGCTGATTTGCATTTATGCTGTCGATTTTAGCGTTTTTTTTTTTTGCGTATTTCTGCAGGTCAGGCTACAGTTATGGGACACAGCGGGGCAGGAACGGTTCAGAAGTCTCATTCCCAGTTACATCCGTGACTCCACAGTTGCAGTTGTTGTGTATGACATTACAAGTAGGTGAACTGTATATGTACATGTGATCTCAGTCACTCTTGTCAAGTGCATCTGTGTGGTGAGAGGGGGTATGAAATCACTCTTTTGTAAGAATCCGCAGAAACGAAGACAATTAACTTATGATATCATCCCTCTGAGATCCTGAAGGAATATAGAACAAAAATAATTCAACGTTTTATTCTGATTCAAGCTGGCGATCAATGAATTTGTATCAAGTGTCTGGTACAGCTACATTGCTTGTCATGACTGCAGTTCTGCGTTGCTTTCGTTACGAGGCTTACAGAATGCGGCTTCAAACTTTAAAGAGAGTAAAATATTGTAAGCTAGGTTGCAACATGAAGCAGTTCAGTCATCGTAGGAGGCATGTAGTGAGCCATGTGAAGGGGGCTGACAGGCTGGCAGCTGTGTGGTTAGGACAGGCAGGCATGCAGGCAGCTGTATGGATGGGGGTGGCAGGCATGCAGGCAGCAGTGTGGATGGGGGCTGGCAGGCATGCAGGCAGCTGTATGGATGGGGGTGGCAGGCATGCAGGCAGCTGTATGGATGGGGGCTGGCAGGCATGCAGGCAGCTGTGATCAGTGCTGACAGGCATGCATGCAGCTGTGTGATCAGAGCTGGCAGGTGTGAAGTCCTTGCATTTTAGCAGGAGTAGATAATAGGGAAGGAGTGTGACTTCAATAAACAATGGAAATTCGTCATTTACTAGCCTTATAATACCTACGATTTACTACGCGTAACTCATCCAACTTGAGCTCAAATCGTACACAGTACATTCGCCTAGCATCGTGCAAAATCGTTTCCTCGTATACACCCGCAATCCGGAGATATAGACTAAAACGTACGACACGATTTTCCATTCTGCTGCCAGCAAACTTGATGCATTTTGCGCCGAAATTTAAACAAAAGGCAGCTACTAACCACAGCTTGCTTTCTCGGCGAGGCGGTGTGGCTCGCAGGGAGATTGCGGTGGGTGTGCGTGCATGGGGGGCATACCAGCTGTATGCCGGTATGCCGCTATGTAGCTGTATGCCGGGTCAAAGGTTATCTCGCCGAGTGTTGCGGCGATGTCCAATCTCCCTGCGAGCCACACCGCCTCACCGAGAGAGCAAGCTGTGGTTAGTAGCTGCCTTTTGTTTAAATTTCGGCGAAAAACGCATCGAGTTTGCTGGCAGCAGAATGGAAAATCGTGTCGTACGTTTTAGTCTATATCTCCGGATTGTGGGTGTATATGAGGAAACAATTTCGCACGATGCTAGGCGAATGTACTGTGTACGATTTGAGCTCAAGTTGGATGAGTTACACGTAGTAAATCGTAGGTATTCTAAGGCTAGTAAATGACGAATTTCCCTTGTTTATTGAAGTCACACTCCTTCCCTATTATCTACTACTGATTTTAGTAAGTTGCCTATATAATTTGTGCACTACTCATTTTTCAGATGCAAATTCCTTCCAGCAGACAACAAAGTGGATAGACGATGTGCGGACAGAGCGGGGCAATGATGTCATTATTATGCTTGTCGGCAACAAAACAGATCTCTCAGATAAAAGGTGAGACGTAATTCCTCCTGATTGCAGAAATTTGGCGATGCTGCTTCGTCACACGCAGGGCCGGATTTTATCAGTGAGAGGGTTTCTTGGAAAATAGGCAACCGAAAGTGACTGGCCATTAACCAACAAAATAATGCTATTTATGATTTTGTACGCAAGAGTTAGTTTGTCCGAGACTTTGAGAAATCAATTTTTCTGCCGTGTTTATGTCTTTCCTAGAAGTATGCATTTACTTTGCACTGAACAATCGAAAATGCTCTTAAATGAATAGTAGAGAAAATAGATTTGCTGCACACTGTCTGTTAGGGGTGTAACGATTGTGGGCGATTCAACTGTGTCGCGGTACATCCCGTTCGGTTCGGTTTTTATTTTTCGGTTCTCGGTTCGGTTCCGGGAAATACATTCAACCCACTCTCAGTTAGGGGGGTGCACACGGCGAGCCTAGTCACTACCCAGTTGGACTGCATGGGGTAGTCTTAGACTACTAGTCTAATATTCTATTTTGGTCAGGTAGATCACTTTAATGAATAGTATTATGACTATTATCCTTGAATTGTATTAGTTTAGTCTTTTGGCCAATGAATAACACAATAAATGTATAATATTATGATAGGTATTATTATTATTATTCAAAATGGAGGGGAAATTTTCACATCTTCTCAGCATTTTTAATTTTTTACTACTGAAAATAACCGAACTGAAGAGCAAAAACCGAAAACCGAACCGAACCGAAACAAAATGTATCGTTACAGCCCTACTGTCTGTCGTCTGGCTACCGTAAATAACCGATTCAATTCGAGTCTGGCGCTTCTTTCACAGGCAAGTTTCCATAGAAGAAGGCGAGCGAAAAGCGAAGGAGCTTGGGGTGATGTTCATAGAAACGAGTGCGAAGGCTGGCTACAATGTGAAGCAGGTGAGTCAGAGCTGTCAGCTTTATTCTCATCCCGCATGCTAAATAGCTGCCTAATGTACGTAAGTAGTAGGTTAGTATATATAGCTCTCAGAAACTTAACATCGGAGACGTATTCAAATTGGATTAGGATGCTGATGTTTTTCCCTGAAGGATGCTGTCATGTATTCAGCAGTTCCTCTGTATGTACGGGTACAGGACATGTATAAAATCAGGTGCAAAATACGCAGGTAGGGAGTCGTACACACTGCACATGTTTGTGTACACCGAATAATTCTGTCCCAGATAACGTTTTATGTTTTGGATGCGTTATACTGTAACAGAACGGGGTGCATTGAAATTTTGTGAGATCGCATGCAAAATGCATGCGCTGCTAATGCGGGCCGTACACCGCTATTGGCGCGAAAAAAACCTACCGTTCTCTTCTACATGGCTTTATCTTGCTACTGATATGTGTATACATTCACTTTAATCGTTATTCACTTCTTGAAAGATGATTTTTTATGGTATAGGCTATTGTAAGACTCGCCCTGATTGGTCTGATTGTTTGTAAATGGCGAATATGGATTAATGAAGTGAAAGGAAGCAGGGTTTCTGAAAAATCATCTTTCAAAAAGTGAATAAAGATTGAAGTGAATGTATACACATATCAGTAGCAAGGTAAAGCCATGTAGAAGGGAACGGTAGGGGTTTTTCCGCGCCAATAGCGGTGTACGGCCCGCATTAGCAGCGCATGCATTTTGCATGCGATCTCACGAAATTTCAGTGCACTTCGTTATGTCCCAATAACCCTCACCAAAATATAAAAAAGGTTATCTGGGACAGAATTATTCAGTCTAATGTTTGTGAGGTTAGCCCTAGATTCTACAATTAGGGATAGAGTAAAGCTTTGTCTCGTTATTGCAATTAATTTTACAGTTACTCGAAACGATAGATACGTACTCAGAGAGTGCATTAATTATTAGCTTTAACAAAGAATAAAAGTTCTATGGGCTGTGGGTCAGGTTACATTTATAACCCTTAACATATATTCCCACAGTGTATTACATTGCAGTAATAGTGAGAGCAAGTTGAGAATAAGCATGCCATTGTCTATCCGTCACTACGTGTCCTGTTGTAAGAAGGTTAAGACGTACATGTGAAAACTAGTGCAGGGCATTTATTCACTGCTACTTATATACTACTAAACAGTGTGCACGGACACAGCTAGCTGTACATAAAATTGTGTTTGGTCTTAATTCAAGCGATTGGCAAATAACTCTTTTCTTTTAAGCAAGATATATGTATAACCTATAGCTCAGTTGCAAAATTCGTACGCAGTTGTCATACGCATAACGTAGCTATAAACCTTTTTGATGGACTCCCAGAATTCTATGGAAGCGTATAAGTAATTTGCATAGTAACTAATGAGTCTCAACGTATTCATTCAATCATGAAAAGTAAAACGCAAATGGTCGGATGCTGCTCCAAAATCAGAATCTGCTTTCACAACACACATGCATGAATGATTTTTCGGGGGCAGCTACTGTTGCCTCGCAGTACAGCAGTAGTAGTTGCAGCAACAGTAGACGTGGCTGCTGCCGCCGCAGCAGCAGCAGTATCTAAAGGATCAGCATCGGTAATAGTTAGTGCAGCGGCATCAGTATAGCATATGGGGTCGTTGTGACGTATCAGGTACTACAGATATGTACCCGAGGTACATATATGTATACACAAGTGTACCTGACCAATGTTGTTTCTACATAACCGTACCGCTGGGCTCCATAAATGTACCCAGGCGGGAAGTCTCGTTCAGTCACGTGGTATTGTCGCAAAAGCCGGAAAACGGTATAGCATAGGAAGAATTTAGCGCCTTCTGATTGGCTGGAATTTGGCAAGATGTCAGTCTCCATGACTTGTAGCCAAAATCCCGAATTATCTACCAAAAACCCTGAGGGCAGCTGTAAACTAATCGGTCCACGAACATAAACAGAAAGTAAAAAAACGTATTGCGTATAGGCCCCTACACTGCATATCCTGATACCTGTTAATACTGCCGTATACGCGGAAGGATACGGATACGCAAATCGTATTATCATTTCCTAACTAAACCAAACTCGGCAGCTATAAGCCCAGACCTTCTCATAACTTAAGATTAAAAGATGAAAATAACACATTTGCACAAAGAATTGCAATTCTAGTGATATTATATGTTATATTAATGAGTAAAATATGTGTTTTTCATGGAAAATACATCTGAAAACTTACTTATCTAACGGTTATAAACCAAAACAAACATTTACAAATGGCGTTTGTTCTCTTGTTTTGAAGGTTTACGACATTCTCGTACTTTATCGCGTGGTTTCATATGCTGCCCGTGGGGCAGGTACGTTTATGTAAGCACAGGGTACATATATGCCGAGAAGATACAGGTCTGGTACACTTGTGTATACATATACGTACCTCGGGTACATATCTGTAGTACCTGATACGACAACGACCCCTTCAGCATCAGTATAGCGATATGCCACTGAAGCGAATGATACATCGGTTTGGTGCAAGTGAATTAACTGTGTAATGAGTCCGCTGCGGTTGTTCCGTCTCCAGACCATACATAAATAAGCGAAATTGTGCTTTTGTGCCGTAGCGACGCGAAACATTGGCGCCTGTCGGTAGGTGTCGGGTCGTGGTGCATGTCTGTTGAGCAGTGTGCTGTTGTGTTGCGTCTGTGAGGCGCCACGACGCGAACACACGGGTGTGGATTACACTACAGGGTATCGATGTGGGAGTGGCATTGCACCGTCGACGGCGCCACTCATGCACTCACGTTATTTCCTCTTCACAACCAAGAACCTTCCCTTCATACATTTCTAGCTAACAAAGAAAGTCGTGCGCGCCCGGACAACCACACCCGCTGCCCACATGCACAACACTTCCCTCTCAACCGTTTCGCATCTCCATCATCCATACTACATCTAACGCGCTGCCGCCGACTAACGCATTATGCAACCACCGTCGCTACATTTCTAAACACAGCCACTATTTCTACCATCTGCAAACCACACTTTACAGCATCACATGCTATCAATATGAGAGTGGCATTGCAGCACAGGATATCAATATGGGAGTTGCATTACACCACAGGGTGTCAATGTGGGCGTGACTTTACACCACAGGGTACTAATGTGAGAGGTGGCAATACACCACGGTATCAATGTGGGAGTGGCATAACATCACAGGATATCAATGTGGGCGTGACATTATATCACAGGGTATCAATGTAGAGGTGGCAATACACCACAGGGTATTAATATAGAGGTGGCGTGACACCACAGGGTATCAGTGTGGGAGTGACATTACACCACAGGGTATCAGTGTGGGAGTGACATTACACCACAGGGTATCAATCAGGAGAACTATCTAATTCTGCTCTACATGTACACTGTTGCTCTTCGTGATCAGGAAGAATCTATCCCATTCGGTGGTGATGATCGATTTAATAGGCGCAGTAGGGTGCTTGCTTTTCCTTGAATGCGGCTGTTGTGCATTATCGTGTAATGGGCTTCACATTGACCCTGAAAGTGTGCGTGCGTGCGTGTGCGTGCGTGCGATCACATGCGTGCGTATGTACGCGTGTGCGTGCGTGCGATCACATGCGTGCGTATGTACGCGTGTGCGTGCGTGCGATCACATGCGTGCGTATGTACGCGTGTGCGTGCGTGCGATCACATGCGTGCGTATGTACGCGTGTGCGTGCGTGCGATCACATGCGTGCGTATGTACGCGTGTGCGTGCGTGCAATCACATGCGTGCGTATGTACGCCGCGTGTGCGTGCTTGCAATCGCATGCGTGCGAATGTATGCGTGTGCGTGCGTGCGTGCGTGCGTGCGTGCGATCGCATGCGTGGGTATGTATGCGTGTGCGTGCGTGCGATCGCATGCGTGCGTATGTATGCGTGTGCGTGCGTATGTATGCGTGTGCGTGCGTATATATGTGTGTGCGTGCGATCGCAGGTGTGCGTGTGCGTGCGTGCGTATGTATGCGTGTGCGTGTGTGCGTGTGCGTGCATACGTGTATGTCTCTGTGTCGGGGCATGTGCATGTGGGGGTCTGTGTATGAGTGCATGCGTGCATGTGGGGGTCTGTGTGTGCGTGCGTGCGTGCGTGCATGCATACGTGTATGTTAGAGAGAGAGAGAGAGAGAGAGATAGAGAGAGAGAGAGAGAGAGAAAAGGGAAGAAGAGAGAGGAAGAGTAATTCCTTGTTTGAACTGATCTGGTTACTCCAGGCTTTTACCCAGTAGAGCTTTGTGACAAGGATTTTTGTGAAAATGCTGCTTCCTTAACTTTCCTCCGCTGTAGTATTCCAGGAATTTCACGACGGAAATGTAGACAAGGAGTGCGTGCATGCATGCACGCGTGTGTGTGCGCGCCTGCGTGCGTACGCATGTTTGTGTATGTGCGTGTGCCAGTGATGCGCACCTCCCTCCCACTGTCCGTGATTTTAAGTCGTCGTTTCTTTCTGGCTTCTGCGAAATTTCTTCTGAAACTTCAGATTCGTGTTGACACTGAATTGGTTGGATTGAGATAATCATGCAGTTCCTCTTAAGTGTCTCAATAGATTCAGATATCAGACAGAGGGAGCGACTCGATACAGACAATCACACATATATTTACGAGGCAAGCAAACAGTTCTAATAACTGCGTATACAACATGAACAGGTAGACAGCGAGTTACGCGCATATATTCAAGCTTATCATACATTAATAAATCTTGATATATTGTATTAAAGCGAGAAAACCTCATACTGGAAAGTCGGTGCGAAGAACAGACAGCGGTCTACATTAGGCCTAAGATAAAATATTGCTTATTTCCCCTTTACTGACCGACTCGCCAAAACGCCGCTACTCGACACATTTTATTGGCCGATTAAAACAAAACAAACATTATCTCGTTTTGCCAAAAAAAAAAATCAAATTCGTTCCGCAAAAACATATACACAAAACAGAATATACAATATACATACACACATCATGTCAAAACAAAATAAAAAAGATTTTTCACCTACCTACCTACTCGGTACCCTGAGAGGCAAGTAGGTTAAGGGGAATTTTTTAAGGGTGGCCCAATATATTTCTATGTATAGATGATAATGCGTGAATATGCGAGGTGAAATTGCAGTCAGGTTGTACCTTCATAGGCAAACAGTTTTACAGGTGTATCCAATGCAACCAGACACCAGAGTAGAAAGCAGGTAAACAGGCAGTCACGTGCATGGCATGACACATGCCAGCAGATCAGAAATGGTAGTGAAAATGGTAAATTTGAAGCATAACGTCACCAATAGCATGTGTATTTCTTGTTTGCGTCTTCCTTGTGCATCACATATAACTATTTTCTGTAATTGCTTTCATTTGCAGTTGTTCCGTAGAGTGGCAGCCGCGCTACCTGGCATGGAGAACACAGAGAACAAGAACAAAGACGACAGTATCCTTTTCGGCATACTTGTGTGCTTATCCCGCTCTAGGTGTTGTTCCCCTTTGCCTCTGCACAACGTTTCTAGTGCGTGTGTGGCATGTGTGCGTGTATTGAACAAGTGCTATCGTCTATTTATTTCGTTGTTAAAAGTCATTTTCAGGATGCTTCGTTAGTTTTGAATAACTTTTGCGCGTGATATTGAATAGTTTTCTTCAATTTTTAAACACTGTATAGTTGGAGCTACAGTTGTGTTCAAGTAGTTCATACAGTTACAGTTGTGCTCAACTGTGGTTTGACATAATGGCTTGTCGAAATGGCAGGTCATGATCTACTGAAAGACAAGAGCAAGACATGGAAATTTATGTTCAGTTGAGTGAACATTTTGTGAGTTGTTTTGTCCATTGTACTCATTTGCCTTTGTAGGTGTGTCTGTGTCCATCTGTGTGTGTGTGTGCTTGTGGAGATGTGTGTATATAAGCAACAGAACCCTAATTTACATTAGGCATAGAATTTTAAAGTAATAAGGCAATATCACATAAAATCAGCGTGTTTAGAATTTAATTGATTATTAAATAAACATTTTCCCTATATGCATGTCTGACTGTGCCTAGGTTTACACAGAGATCCTAGCACCACTGCGCGTCACCGCATAATCTATGAGTGGTTCAGTTGTGTTAATTTGAGATGAGGCAGATTTATTTCTGAACCAACTTCATTATGGCCCGCTAATGTATCTACATTTGACATTTGACATTTGACACCACATATCTTCTTGGAAAAAATAGTGACAACGTTATGTCAGTATGTATAAAGTGCTCTGTGAGTGCGTGCGTGCGTGCGTGCGTGCGTGCGTGCGTGTGTACATTAATGTGGTTATGTGAGTAATTACCTCCGCGCAACGGAGTTGCAGGGAGGTAATGTGATCCCTCTCGTGTGATGCGTTCGTGTGTGTGTTCGTGTGTGTGTGTAGCCAGCAGCGAGCCAGCTCTTATACACATGTATACATGTTACACGCGTTGGCGCGATCGATTCAGCACCAGCTCGCCTTAGGCCGTCCAGTCAGCAGCAGCTCGCCATAAGGCGTCCAGCCAGCAGCGAGCCAGCTGTTATACACATGTATACATGTTACACGCTCGCGGAGGTATGCACTCTTTTTGAGTGCCCTCTGTCTTGTTGTTTTTGTGTGTGTGTGTGTGTGTGTGCGTGCGTGCGTGCGTGCGTGCGTGCGTGCGTGCGTACGTGCCAGCGTGTGTGGGTGCAGGTGTGCCAACGCATATGCCTGCATGTGTGCACCCATGTGTATTGGTACTTAGATGTGTGTGAGTCCATGTATGAATGGGAATGTGCGTCGGTATGTGTGTATGCCTGTGTGTGTGTACGTGCGTCTGGGCACGCGTGTGCATGTTTGGTGTGCATTTATTTGTGAGCGTGTACATATTGGTTAGGGTGTGTCATCCACCACAACGTGCAAGCGTTTGTCCTATGCTTGCATGCTTGTGCTACGTGGTGAACATGCTCGATATATATATATATATTATATGTGCGTGCGTGCGTGCGTGCGTGCGTGCATATGTATTGTGACAGACACAGCACCTACAGCTTAATAATAATAGCAAGAGTTAGGTCACCTTCTATATCATACACCATGGGTATTTCGCAGTATTAATCGTCGTGTCTGTTTGTGTTTTCCAGTGTGTCGGTGGCCCGGTGGCGACGCAGGCCTGCACTCCTTTCTGTTGCACAGTCTCTCTCATGCTCTCGTGGTACTGGAGGTGGTTCTTCTGCTCTCACACTTCATTAACTGTGGACTGTGGTGTTTGGACTAGGGCATGTAGTAAGGCTCGCAGCTCAGGCTCTCTCCCCCACGCATGGTCGTCATTTCCTACTGAATCGACATCATTTATTTTGCTTGCAACAACCCTTCTCTGTTAACGATAATTACGGAACCAATATAAAACTAAAGCAGTCACTATACTCCTGGTAGAGATGAGTAGTGCATGTTAGATGGTTATTGCATGTGAGTGTGTGTGTATTTGTTTGTGCTTGGACATTGGTAACTACTGTGACTCCCTATCTTTACTCAGTAGTGTTTTCTGGTAAAGGTGCGTGCATGTGCTGTGCAGTAGCAGCTCACTAACAATCAATGTCTGCACTGAGTGATCATATGACCAAATACTACATGAACACTTACAAGTATAGGGACAGGGACAGCTTAGGGACGGACGGAAAACACGGAAACGGCCATTGGAAACGGAAAAGACGTTTTCAAACGGAAAAACGCGGAAAACTTAATTTGAACATATTACAACATGGAAATTTCTATAAAATCACAAAAAAACAGTCGACAATAGCATTGATAATGATTTACATGCAGACAAGTTTCAGAGCGAAATGACTTACAATTACGACTTTTGGTAGCCCTGTGTTTCGGTGCTGGTTCCGGTTTCAAAGGTTGTACCAAATACTTTTTTTTCATACAAATATATGTAAACGGAATTTTTGCATTTTTGGTGTGTACAATCTCTATGGGAAAACGGAATTTCCATTTTTTCTTTACTTTGGAACGGAATTCATGATTTTCCCAAACGGAAAAGGCAATTTTTTGAAACGGAAAATCACTGTCCCTACAAGTATAGTAGTTCTAGCGACTAGGACAAACGGAATAGGATGTTAGCATGCTATAGTATGATACCATGCTATAGGGTGGTACCGTGCTATAGGATGTTAGCATGCTATGGTATGATACCATGCTATAGGGTGGTACCATGCTATAGGATGTTAGCATGCTATGGTATGATACCATGCTATAGGGTGATACCATGCTATATGATGTTAGCATGCTATAGTATGATACCATGCTAGGATATTAGCATGCTATGGTATGATACCATGCTATAGGGTGGTACCATGCTATAGGATGTTAGCATGCTACAGAACATTATATATTCATTGTTATAGATAGTATATAATTGGTCACATGATACTATTCAGTGAAGACAAGGGGTATATAGCATATAACCAGAAGTGCAGAAATGTAAACAACAACAATACTACCACACACTTTAGTGTCAATATTTTCACATTGCTTGCGTCTTACTAACGATGGTTTACTTTAATAGTGTTCCGCTGCTTAAGAATTGTCAATTCTTGGCAAACTGAAAAACTCGTTGACTCCACAAATTGTTTTGACTCCAGGCACATACGTAAGAGTCATCTGCCAGAGACATATTATAGCATTAGGTACATCATTGGGTTGTGTTACACACTACACTGATGCTAGAATTATGTTAATTTTGGGAAAATTATGACTGGTTCATGAGAGGAGTGTTTCACAACCAGATAAGATACTGAAAAAATGATGAAGGTTCCAATAAAGCTAAGTGTACAGGCAGTGGAAATATGAAAACTATGTTAGTGCTGAAGGTATAAGTGCTGAATTATTGAGGTGTCTTTTCTGATTATGATTTATTTCTGCTGAAATTTTTCTGTCCGCATAATTTAAATAGTACCGCCATTAACTTAAATTATCTCTCCCTCCTTTCTCCACAAGATTCAAAACGATTTATTTACATCAGAGGCACCTGCCATATCATTTTTAGTTTTATCAACTTTATATAAATTCTCATAGTTTCACCAGCATCACTGTTCTACTGAAATGCATCAGTTTTCAACATGGCACAGTAGAATTAGCCAGATCATGCGTGAAACAACGCCTGCCTTCGCTAGTGGAGTATTTTCGTAACACGCTTTGATGATGGCTGTATTTCCTGTGCGGAACTTTAATGCTCACGCAGCCCTGTGATCTGCTGCGGTCGCGGAAATTCCTCCGATGCAAAAAGTTGCGCAACGCAGCAGGAATGTGTAGAGAATGCGGGAGTCGGCTGGAATTAAAGGGGGTTGGGAGTATATGTGTGATGACCAGGACTGCTGCTTAATCTATCAGTCTCCTGGGTTTTCCCATGGAACGCCTGCGGTGTCCTGTCATATCTGGAAAGAACTTTAGAGAGGCTGCTTGGTGAGCATAGAAAGGCTTTCCTTTCATTGGCGTTATAAATTTATTTTTCCACTCACGCGATGATGGCACATTTTGTCTTAAAAATATCTAATTTTCTCCTCAAACTGAACACTCTTTTTACCTAATTTGCACCTAGTTTACTCTTAAATCTGTGCGTACTGCATTACAAAACATGTCATTACAAGAGATGAATCCCTTGATGCGTGTGCTGCCATGATGATTGATTTTGTGTGTGTGTGTGTGTGTGTGTGTGTGTGCGTGCGTGCGTGCGTGCGGGCGTGCGTGCGTGGGTGTGTGTGTTCGGAATAGGTGTATAATATCAAGTGTACATAATAGGAGACTTCTATTATGTACTCTTGATAATATGTGTCCCCGAGTTACTGCATGTCATGTGTAAGTTCGTGGAGCCTTTCATGTTCAACGTTCTGCTTTCATCACTTTCCTGTCGTCACCATCATCTTATTACCAATCCTTATAGGTTACACACACAGTTTGACCATGTTCCAGTGCAAATTTTCTCTAATCTTGGTTTCATTTACATGCTCTCTCACAATGATCTTGCCATTATTTAAACGAACACATAACTCCATCTATCGATTATATTTCCAGTTATATAGTAGTTTATTTATGATTACACTTTTACAGTTTAATTTCACATGTTTACAATTGCTCACTGGGCACTTGTAAAATTAATCATTAAAGTGATTGAAATATTTTCGAGTTTTTGCTATTACTATTAGTGTCCGTAGAGTCAGTAGTAGTGAAATTCTGCAATATATGTGATAGATAATGCTTTATATCATTAAAAAGTTGCTTAATTGAGATGAATATAATGTAACGTTTATCGCCAGTGAAGTGAATGAAAATAGTCCTTCAAAGCGTATTTTATCTGTGCTTGGCATTTTCTGTTATCCTCATGAGCTTAGCACCAGACTACAATTTGCCACACGACAGCCGCCCACCCTTGTATTCTCATTATCCAGTAACTATTTCCCAGGCTGTCGTAATATGATAGTGTTTTCATTAGCTGGTCACTTTTCCCACCGTGCCCTTATTTCATTTTACTGTCATTGTCTTGTAGGATATTTCTTGCTCATTCACCTATGTGCTGTATGCTGCCTGCCCCTGCTGTGTAGTGAATGTTATCCGTTTTACATAGGTTTGTGGGGCGGCTGCAAATGCTAACCATTCACAATTTTGTGTTTACTTTCTTTACTGCATGCGTCCTTGTTTTCCTTAATGGTTGTCACAGTGATTGAAGTGAAGTTGAAGGACACACAACCCAGTGAGCAGGAAACAAAGGAAAGGGGATGTGCCTGCTGAGCTACAGTGGCTCCATCTTTGATGCAACAGGAAAGCGATTTTTGTTTGATGCACGAAAAGGCGAGGAAGACAGAACTTTGGTAGACAGTTAGTCGCTACTTTTAAATATTGATGCTGAAATGTTAAATTAATTACAGGTTAATTCTTTATGTTTTCTTTACATGATTGCTCATAAGTGGTCGTGTAACTTATCTTTCCTGAATAGTAAATAACATTTTACCTCTTGTGAATGTGAATGGAAAAAAAACTTGAAAATTGCCTTTGTATTGCCACGGGGTGGTGCCTCTTGTGCCTAACGTTTATACGCTTACAGTACCATTGTCTTAATCTTTACGCGCACGAATCTTATCTGACTTACGCGGTTTTGTAAGATTTGCCTGATGAGTTGATTGCTTTAGCTACAGCTTGCAGTTGTTTTGGCGTTGAACTCTTGTCGAATAATTTCGTATGTTTGTTGATGTGGCAGTGGCACTTTTTAGATGGAAATCAAGCTAGCGCACTCTCTCCCGCTTCCCTGCGTAGGGGTTTCACCAGTAATTGCTCTGGAATGTGTGGAAATTCTTGGTAATGGTATGTCCTATAGGAAAGCTTGGGATTTAGGTGCGTGTGTGGGGGGGGGGGTGCGTAGCTTAATAATAGTAGCACATTTATAAGGCTCAAATCCGAACTCCTCACATGAAAATATATTCTTTGAACTAATTGAAACATTTAATACATAACTACAAGAGCGTGGTTACGACTGTAATGTTGTTGCTGTAATGGTACTACTACCCAGTCTACCACAAGCTTGCAATTGCATGATTGCCACTGTAAGCTTACTACTGCAGAATTATTTCATCACTGGGCAGTTAGTATATGCAAGAGCCATCCTTGGGTCTTGGTTAGGTCCTTGTTGTGTGCATACTGAAACCCTCTTAGTCTAAGCATGACTTATATCCGTTCACGCTCGTTTACAACTAGTTTAATTAATGTGCATTAATTAATCGATTATCCATTGCATAATTTTGACTGTTGTGGCGATGCAATGCAATTAATTCTAACTCAGTGGTAGCTATGTGTCTATATTAATTTTTAATTATCGTGTCATTCAGCAGTAGCCCTGTTTTGCGTCACGTTAGATATGAGCTTCCATAAACTATTTTTAAAGAAATATTGAAATATTGGCTGCAGTAATATTGTTTGCGCATAACGCCGCAGCGATTACGCGTATCACTGTGTAACGTCGTTCAGAACCGACAAAAAGACCGAAGTAAGACAGTCCAATATCTTTATTTTAGCCCATTGTACTTAAAATTACGACGCGTTTTTAATTTATATATTTGTATGTAATAATTATCGACAGCGCTGTCTCGTGTTTATCGTTGCGGTGTCAGGGAAATCCGAGTTATGTATATCGCTTGTTTGTAAATAGAATACGGTATCATTTCGCTGTTTGTCGGGTGTCTACAGTGTCTGTTGGTGGCCCTACCTATATTGCCCATCGCTCTCCCCACAGGGCTGCGGAGAAGACTACATAAATAGAGTCCCACGCATCTTGTTTCGTGGTTGTGTGAAAGCTTGGTCTCCACTCCTCTAGACCTAAAGAGACATATTTGACCCTCAGAGTTGCAGCATCTGGCCCTCGTCGTGTTAACTGAATTTTACGTCATCGTAAATAGTAATAACTTTTTTTTGGCAAAATATAAACGTGCAGTTATTGTTTCGTTTACTCTTTACAGTTAAATTGCCGTGTTATGCTTCCTATTTTGCCGTTCTGTTTGATGAAAGCAAACAGATGTTACTCGTACATAACTCGAGAAATTTTGGTGCTCACGGTAATTCAAATTGCAGAAAGATTTTGTATTTCCAACTAGTTCGAAAACATCCTTGTCGGAGTTTGAGGACATATTTATTAGAAATTACTTTTTGTGTAAAAATCACGACGAAAATTGTACAAGTATACACCTGGTAAAGCACACGTGCCTCGGAGATGTGTTGCGGGAAGCAGACTATGGCAAGCAGTGAGGTGTGAGGCTAGGCGTCATCTGTGATGCTGCACGTGGCGGTGGGCCACCGATCCAATTCACAGTGATTTAACACATATCCGGACGTCGGGGGGGGGGGGAAGTTCAGACGTAGCTGTTTTGAATAATAAGGGGATTATATGCTTCTGCTTTCTACTCGTTGTTAAAGATATCTTATGGCGAATTTTTGCGGCGCATCTCTGCTTTAAATTGTTGTAAAAATGCAAATGAACAGATCATAAAGTGCGCTTAATTGATACCTGAATGGGGGGTGGGTGAAAATAAATACGGAAACAATGTCTATTTAGTCCATTTCTCAAACAAGAATAAATATTAAAATTCCGTTTCGCTTTATGTTTGAATAATCGTGGTAAGACAGGCGCAGGTCATGTGATGTACGTCACTTTGCAGCACTCGTGTCAATAGAATATTGATACAGGTTGGCAGTCAGAAAATGCCTGCATGCATGATTTTGTGGTTATGGAAATACTTTGAATTAACTTAATTTTGAGCATATTATTTTTCCTGTTGTTTATTTAAAGGTTATCAGTTATCGTCGCTTACAGTCGTAAAACCCGAAAACATTTCATTTTTTCTAATTTCATGTGCTTTTTGGTAGTCCGGGGAAGGTATCTTCAACTAGAGCAGTGGCCACTGGACTGCTGTAGTAAACTTACTATACCTGTATTTCATTTTTTGTTGGTGTCAATGCTAGCACACGTGTGTTAGCTCATTTGTGTGCTAAACTTAATGGCCTCTTCAATCATCTTTGCAATTGTTTTTGTTATAGTAATCATTATAAAGATTCTCAAACATATTTGGTGGCATTGTTATTTTGCTGATAAAATCTTCAAGTGCTTGGAAGCCTAATTTACGATTGGCTTCCTTGCCTATAATTACTATTATACGTTATGGGGTAAGTATCTGTATGACTCTAACATCACTGACAGTGTATTTGTGTGGCCACTGGCGGCTATTCTGGGTCGGGATAATTTTTACATTTGAAGGATCCCCTGCCTTCTATAATACGGGTCCAATATTGGAAGCATCCACATGGTGTCTGGTGGTGGGTGGAAAACCATTCAGGTGGTGAGCAAGTGGTGACAACCCATAACTCACTCGTGGTTATAGGTAATATCTCTGGCAAAACATTGGGGTTATAACGTCATACGTGTGCGTTTTACAGTTTGCAATTCTTTCTGTTTTTCTGTTGTTTGAGAGTCTGCAATAAAGTATAAATATATTGGATGATTTATGATAGACATACACATATATTCGGCTGTCCTGGTTTTGTTGCTGCTTTCTCCTGACGTATTCTGCAGCGCACAGCTGCCAGATTTTAATAATTTCTGAGTATGTTATTGAAGTCCCTAACACATGGTTGTTCAACTAGTACTACTTGCAATGCGTTTGATATATCAAGCATCATACTAATTATACTGCAGGGAGTTACTATCAACTCTCGAGTTGTTTGCTCTAAGTCAGTATTTTGTCTACCATGCCAGCTTTGTGAGGAATTATGTCGAAAGGCTGGCTGCAGTACATCTTGTTACTTTTTATAGCATTCTATATGTTCCAGCGGCGAATCCATAGAGGACAAGTGCATCGATCGGATACAAGAATGATCACCATAGGTGTTAGACGTGATGGCGCTTGCTATTCTTACGACTTGTTGGAACTGTGGATGCTAAGGTCACCATGGTTACTGTTACTCGTTTCACCAAAGTCTCTATCCCCGGGTGCGGTCGCAGCTGCTGGCAATGTTACTATGGTTTCGTGTTGTATTCTCCTTCTTACTCGGTGCCTCTGTCTCCGTTATCGCCCCCTGATGTCTTGATGAATGTTGTTGTTGTTGTTGTTCGCCGACGTTTTTCTTAACTAGTACCGCAGTGATTGAGCTGAAGCCGCAAGAGCCCCTCAAGCAGCCGATGGAGCAAGAAGGAGGCTGTATGTGTTGATTCCACCGCACTTAGTGAAAGCGCCGGTGCTCTGACTTCCCTATTCAACTGCGACTATATAGGCAACACGTGCAACAAGGAACACACTGTTCGAGTTATCTGGGGAAGATCGGTACCGAGTGACCTGCGAATGAAACTTGTCTTATAGAATTTGTCTATTATAAGAGTTGCTCGGTTGTGCGCACGCGAATGCTCTTGTGTTATCGTGTCTCTTGCGTTAGTATTATCCGGAGGGTGACGAACACAGGCCAGCTTATTCCAGGCCGTGCAGTTCTAATCAGAGTAGTCAGTCATACGCAGAGAAGACAAATGAGCAGTCGGTGATCAGCTACTCTAGCAACTGCTACTGGCTGCGGATCCGTGTGCTACAACATACAACATAAACAGACGGCATATTCCCATGCGTCTCGCTAGCGTAATAGCGCACACGTAAGTTAATCGTGGATACCGGAACTATTAAACTTTAAAGGCCACGGAAATGTCGCTATTATTCCCTTCATGTTTCTACGTAGTGACAACTGAGTATTGAACTGACCGCCTCCCTACGGGACGGGCCAGTCCCCTGTCGCTTCGCCTACGAAACCTCCCGAGTCTCTAGGCGCCACTGGTCCGATCATTGACGAATGAAGCTCTTGCAAACCTATGTAATTCTAACACGTCCCCCAAAACGATAGATGACGAAGGAGGCGGGTTCCAAATTCGCGCGCGCATCTCATAATAACACATGCATGGTTTGTGTCTATAGCTGCAGGCGCATACATGTGTGTGTGGTGCGCGTGTGCGTGCATTTCTACAGCCGCGTTCACTGATTGCAAGAGAATGGCGCGATTTCTCCTGATGGCGTGTTAATCGCGTGTGATTACAACATCGGATTCGTCGAAGGCGTGTGAGTAAGAGAGAGAGAGAGAGAGAGAGAGAGAGAGAGAGAGAGAGAGAGAGAGAGAGAGGAGGAGAGAGAGAGAGAGAGAGAGAGAGAGAGAGAGAGAGAGAGAGAGAGAGAGAGAGAGAGAGAGAGAGAGAGAGAGAGA